CTCGTGTGGCTGGAGGGGCCGCCCGCTCTGCAGGTGTGCACATGGAGCGCGTGGCCTCCGCTCTGCCTGCAGTGGTGCCAGTGTGCTTCTGCCGAGCCTGGTGCTTCAGACATGCTTCAACTCGGGCCTGTCCCACCACAAGGGGGAATAGTCTGGGGACCATTTCTGGGGTATGTTTTAGTATGTTTGAATATTTTAGGGGTATCCTCAATTTTTCGTCCAAAATCGGCCTGTAGGGGGACAGGCCCGACCTAAGACATGTGTTGGCAGAGCGTCGAGCAGAGTCCGAGTGCCTCTTCCCCCGATCTCGTACGCAGCTGCCGTTTTCGGAGGAACGGTTCATGGACCCCGTCAGCGCACTGAACTTGGCGGTCATGGGCCACTTCAAGCCTCACGGGAACCAGGGGGAGGAGATGCCCCTCAGTTTCCAGGATGCCGACTTGGGAGGACACGGGTGAAACAATATTTGTAGAGCACGAGTACAGGAGTTCGTAAATCATTGAGTTAATCGAGCCCGATTTCTTTGCTGATGTCCGCGAAGAGTTCTTGCTCACATCGCTGACTTGTTGTGTCCAGGTGCGGGTCGAGCTCGAATTCTAAAAGCCGCCCGTTCCCGCGAGGAGGTGCTGGTTTCGCCATCGAGGTCACGGTGTGCGACCTGAAGGTCGTGGGGCCGAGGTGCGACAGCAAGAAGATTGCGAAGAGGGAGGCTCGAAACAAAAACGAAACGACGCGCTACATCAAGATATTTTGTCGGAGGTATGCGCGGATTTCTTGGGTCGGCGCTTGAGCCCACCACTGCCTGGTGAGCGAAGCGCTCCAGGGGAGGCGCCGGAGGTGCCGCCAGGAGGGGGGGGAAAAGGCGCCGACACAAGAAATCCACGCGGACCTCCGAGAGGGCATGTTTGAATGCAGCTGCTTCGGAGGAGGAGGAGGAGGACAACGACACAGGTCCACCTCGTTCTGCCCTCTCCCCTTTCCGCAGCAAGAAAGGAAACTTTCAGAGGAGGAGGGAGGAGGCAGGGGGAAGGAAGTGAATCTGTCTAAACGTTCGATTCCTGCTTGAACGCCGCTGCTGCTCACATCCTCCGATATGATATTTTCAAGCCGCGGCCCCAGAGATCCCGACCCCTTCCCCGGGGGAGGTTTCTCTGCCCCAGGTCCATTCTTGACAGCCCGGCGGCCCAGAAACGGGCCCCGGAGGCTGACGTCGAGGACATTCGCCAAGACTGAAAATTACTCCGACGGTAGGACCCCACACGAGAATCTGTTTAGTTTGCCCCTCGCCCTTTTCCTTTTCGACTGGCGCAGGCCATCCTCCCGCTTATGCGTCCTCTCCCTCATCATCATCATCATCATCATCATCATCATCATCATCATCATCATCATCATCAGCATCATCATCATCATCATCGTCATCATCAGCATCAGCATCAGCATCAGCATCATCGTCATCGTCATCATCATCATCATCATCATCATCATCAGCATCATCATCATTCATCATCATTGTCGTCGTCATCATCATCAGCATCATCATCGTCTTTCTTGCCCTGGCTCCTCAAGATTCAGGCCTGAGGAGCCCAAAGGTGACGACAGTTACAGGATTTGGATGACCCGCTCGGATTAGAACATGAAGTGTGGGCCCCATAGGGAGGGGGGGAGGGGGTTCAGGCCTCAGACTTCCTCAAGATTCAGGCCTGAGGAGCCCAAAAGTGACGACGCTTACAAGATTTTAATGGCCCGCTCGGATACGAACATGAAGTGCGCCTGAGGAGCCCAAAAGTGACGACAATTACAGGATTTGGTTAACCCGCTTGGATTAGAGCATGAAGTGCGGGCCCCATAGAGAGGGGACTCCTGCCTGAGACTTCCTCAAACTTCAGGCCTGAGGAGCCCAAAAGTGACAACAGTCAAATGTGCGAGCGAATGTGAGTGATGATGACGATGGTGATACTCATGGCGATGAGAAGGAGGGGGTGTGATATGATGACGCGATGCATGACGATAGTACGATAACGGACGATGACATGATGGTGAGTTAGTGGGTGATGGGTCAATGTGACTGCGTGAGTGAGAGCGTGATGGTTGCCGATGGCCGTGATGGCTTCATGGCGTGATAACGAATGAGTGCGTGGTGAGTAAATGAGCGAGAGAGTGAGCGGGTGATCATGTTGATCGGCGATCAAGGTGGGGTGATGCTGACACGCGGACGGGGGTGAAGTGTGACGTTCCTGCGCGGAGGTGTGAAGAGAAAACAAGAACACCACGTAGAATGTAGGGCAAAACGCATCCTCGGAGGGATGGGGCGCTCTCAGAGCGTTCCGGAACGCTCTGAGAAGGCCGCGGCGCCCGACACGTCCTCGAAAGCCGCCAGCCGGAGCTCAGAGACTCACGGCTCATACCCACCCGACCTGATCCTCGTCTTGGCCCCGTCTTCTGCTGCTCTCTCGCCCCCGGAGGCGGCCCACCTGGCCGTGCGGAGGCTCGTCGAGATGGCAGCTGGCGACGCCTGACACATCTCGGCGTAGCCTTGGCGCGCGGCGCGCGGGCGCGCCGGCACTCCCGGGCACGAGAGAGCCGCGGGGTCCAGGGCCCGCCCCCGAGAGGCCGGGCGCTTGCCCGGGGGAGCGGCGGCGGCGGGAGCCAAGCAAGCGGCGCGCGCCCGACGACGACGACGACGACGACGACGACGACGACGACGACGACGACGACGACGACGACGGAGGAGGCGGCAGCGGCGGCGGCGGCGGCGGCGACGACGACGACGACGACGACGACGACGACGACGACGACGACGACGACGACGATGACGACGGCGGCGGCGGCGGCGGCGGCGGCGACGACGACGACGACGACGAAGGACACGAAAATTGCAACCAACAATCACGCCCGAACTTCTTGGGTCGCAGCTCGGCAGAGGCAGTCCGCACGCGCGCTCTGGGGGTCCGGGGAATGGAAAGCGCAAATTAACAGGTGGCAGGAGGAGGGAAAGACAGGCGAATGCGGCCGCGGGGAGGCTTTGCAAAGTGATTCACGCCCGAACTAGAAGAGCTAAATCCCCCAACACACACATACACACACCAGCCTTCACATTGGCAAATATTGCCTTCGAGATGATGAGCTCCATGTTTTTCTCCTCGCTCCTCCTGTAAGGCAGCGCTTGTTCAATGTTAGGCCGGGCGTCAGAAGGGGAAGTGGCTCCTAAACTCTTGTTGCACAGGTGTTTCTTTCAACGGTCTCTGCACGCACGGCCAGGTGCCATCGACGCGGGTGGCATGCCTCTGGCTTTGGGGCCGATCCCGTTCATCACTTGGCGGTTGGGCCTTGACGCCTGGCGTCGTTGCCCAGTTCGGCGGCGAGATCCGAGCCCTACCCTCGCTGATCAACGATTCGGCAGCTCGATGGACGGCGGGGGCAGGTTCAGGATGCGCCGAGCACGTGGCGGAGTCCGAACCTTACCCCCGCCTCCCATCGGTTCGGGAGTCTACATCGTTGGTAGGGGTAGGGTTCGGATGTCGCCACCTAGTAACTGGCTATCTTTTCCAACTTCTTCGGCCCCATCGGAGACCTTCTTCTGGCCCCAGGCCCAAACCCCCCCGCGCCGTGAGAAAGTCACGACGGTACGTTTTTGTTTTGTTCTGTCTCTGGGGGCCCTCGCTGGGCCCAGAGGCCCTCAAGCAACGCTTCAGGATAAAAACTGGTCCTGGGGAATGGGTTGAGACCTCTGGGGGGTCCACTCTGTGAAAAAAACACGGCATCAGGATTTAGGGTCTGGCCCCAAGGACCGTCAGAGAGACGGCCCCAGAATGAACAGGCGGATCCTGGGGGAGGGGGTCGGGGCTATTGGTCTCTTCACCGGCCAAGTGGGACCCTTCACCGGCCAGATGGGACCCTTCACCGGCTGATCCGTTCACCGGCTGATTGGGTGTTTCACCGGCTACGTCATTCAATTGAAAGTTGATTGTAGTGTTCGCGTGTACGCCACCAAGAACGAGTGTGGAGTGCTAAGGGTTGCCACAACCGCTTCTGCAATTAATTGTTTGTTGTTGTTTTTTGGAGGCCGGTGAAGAGACCAATCCTGGTCGTGTACCAACGTGGCATGCATGGTGGGAGGAGGAGGAGGAAGAGGATGCGCAGGAGCAGGAAAGAACAGGAAGAATAAGGAAGGGAGGTCGGTGGAATTCTCCCCAAGGTAAGGTATCATGCCAAAGGGTACCTCATGTAAGCATGCGATACATGTACATAACCAGATTTCAACAGGCACACTGGATGGGGTAAACTGTGGCGCATGGCTGTTTTGCTTTCTCTGTGATGGCATCGGATGTTGTTCCATGCCGCGCAGCTGCCTGCGGCAATTCCCGCCGTCGCGCCATTTCAACACCTGATCATTAGCATGTTAAGATGATCAGGAGCAAGATAAGTTTCGAGGCGGGCGAAGTGTGATCGGCATGGTGATGACGATGATGATGATAGCGTACGATGACGATGACCATGACGACGATGATGATGATGATGACGATGCTGGTGACGATGACCATGATGATGCCGATGACGACGACGACGATGATGATGATTGTTCTGGTGGTGATGACGATGATTACGATGGACGATGGTGATGATGACGAAGACGATGATCATGATGCATATGGCGACGATCGCGATTACGATGATGACCATGACGATGACGATTCGGATGAGGATGATGAAGATGCTGATGCTAATGATGATGACGATGATGGTGCCGATGATGATGATGGTGATGACGATGATGATGATGATGCGGATCATGATGATGCGACGATGATGATTATGATGATAACGATGATGACGATGATGATGATGTTGATTATGATGTTGATGCTGATAATGTCGATGATTATGTTGACAATGATCATGATGGCGATCATGACGACGATGCTGATGATGATGCTGGTGATGGTGATGGTGATGATGATGATGACGACGATGATTATGGTGATGATGATGATGATGATGATGACGATGACGATGACGATGATGATGATGATGATGACGATGACGATGATGATGATGATGATGATGATGATGACAATGATGATGATGATGATGATGATGATGATGACGATGACGATGATGCTGATGATGATTATGATGATGATGACGATGATGTTGATGATGATGCTGATGATGATGATGCTGATGATGATGATGGTGATGATGATGATGATGATGATGATGATGATGATGATGATGATGATGATGATGATGGTGATGGTGATGGTGGGCTTCCACGTTTTCCCAGAGGTTGGGGCGTTTCTCGAATTTCCACGGGGCTCCAACGTCTTCCCATGGATCGCTAGGATTCGCTAGTAATCCAAAGGTTTCGGTAGGATTCGCTAGTAATCCGGAGGTTTCGGTAGGATTCGCTAGTAATCCACATGTTCCGGTAGGACTCCTTGCTGGCGTGCACAGAGTTCTGCGTCCAACAAGCATGTGCGTACCGGCGAGGCGAGGTCAGACGGTGAAGCCGGGCAGCCGACCAGCCGGTCAGCCGGTGAAGGGTCCCATCTGGCCGGTGAAGGGTCCCATCCGGCCGGTGAAGACATTTTTCTCCCCCCCAGGTGCCCTTCGTCACAACGTGACCCTATGATGCTGGAGCAGAGAACCCTTGACCTCACTTCGGGAGTTTATTGAGGGGGGGGGAGTCCAAAGGTGGAGGCCAGTTGGATGCCCACATGTCCTTCTTCCAGGGGCCGTTTGGTGCGGCTTTCCTCCCAACCCCACACCTCCGCCCCTACAGCCAAGTCGCTGAAATAAGGAACAGTTTGGGTAAGAAAGGGGCTCGATATTCCTGAGGTCCTTCTATGGCTTTTCCTCTACCCTTCCTCGTGCACGCAGGCGCTTGTGGGGCCAAAAAGGGGCTTTGTTCCTTGTTTATCGTTCCTTCTTTCCGCAGCCCGACTGTACCCCACCTCATGATGTACCCCCGATCGTGGCACCTCCTGGGCCCTCGGGACCTCCAGAGGAAGGATCCGGCCCGGGGGGGGGGGGGGGCGGTCGAGCCCCCCGTGAGGCGCCCTCGTCGCGAACGGGGTGCCGCGGTGCCGAGGCAGAGGGTCGGGCGGGGCCGGGACCAGGATGCGGTCGGGAACTTTCTGATGCAGTCAAGTGGACGTGGGAGTGACCTTTCGCAGGGAGTGACCTTTTGGTGCGGGCACAGACTGGTCCCCAGGTGGCCGAACGCGATGCGGTAGCAGCGTCTTGCGCGGTTGTGCTTGGTCCCCTAGCGGCCCCCCAAAAAAGCTGCGCACCAAAGGTCACTCTTACCCAGGGTCACTCTTGCGTGTAGCCGAATACAGTCAGTCAACCCGTGTGGCAAGGAAGGGCAATCTTCCCAAGGGTACCATTGCATCCTTGCCTCCTCGGTCCATCCTTGGCCACTTTTTCTATGGCCGCGCTCCGCTCGCGAAGCTTCAGAATGGGCGTCCGAGGCCTTTGCATCGTGATCGTGCCTCCTAATGATACGGGTCGAGTGTAGCGTGTCGAGACGCCGGTTCTGGCCCACCACGGTTCTGCGCAACGCGCTGTCCACTTCCCCGTCCCCTGGCGTCAACGTCCCGAGCCTCTGCGAGCCTGCCTGCCGCGGATCGGAGCGGCATGCTGTCCACTCGCAGAGAGCAAAGTTGTGTCGCCGGGGCCTCCGGGGCGACGCGCGAAGCAAGAGTTCCCGACCGTAACTCGTAGCACAGCGCCCCAGAACGCTCTCGGAGCGTTATGGGGCGCTCTGGAACGGCCGCCGCGCCCGATGCATCCTCAGAGATCCCCCCGATTCGACCTGGCCTTACGTCGTCGGAGCTCCTAGACCCCTCGGCTGCGCGTGAGAGTGGCCTGTCGTCGGAGTGACCCGTGGCGCGGGCCCACGGGGGCACCTCCAGCAGCGGCCTGCACGTCTGGGGTTGGCCTGCCCGCGGCCCCCTGCAGCCGCCTGCCAGAAACGTCGCCCTGGCCCCTGGGGCCGCTCCTGCGTGTCGCCGAGCTTGCTGGGCCTCCCGTGTGCCCCCCTCTCTCGCCCCTGGGGCGCCGCGGGGAGCGGCAAAGGGGCCGGGCGACGGGGCGGGAGCGCCCAGGAGGAGGGGAGGGGAGGAAGGGTGGAGGGGGGGCCTGGGCCTGCTCCACACCGCCCGCGAGCGCGGGCGCTGCAGGGCAGGCGCAGAGTGGAGCCGCGGGCGTCGGCGACGCAAACGGCGACGCCGACGGTGACGCGGGCCACGTCAGAGGCCAGTCCAAAAGGGAGGATTAGGAGGTTTGATACGACGTGCTTCGGGAGAAGTCCCTCCTCCTCTCCTCTTTCTCTCCCTTCCCCTCTTCGTCCTCCTGAGGCCCTCCTCCTCCCCCTCCTGCTCCTGATCCTCCTCCTCCTCTTTCTCCTCCCCCCTCCCTCCTCCCTCCTCCCTCCTCCCTCCTCCTCTTCCCTCCTCCCTCCTCCCCCTCCTCCTCCTCCTCCTCCTCCTCCTCCCCCTCCTCCTCCTCCTCCTCCTCCTCCTCCTCCTCCTCCTCTCCTCCTCCTCCTCCTCCTCCCCTCCTCCTCCTCCTCCTCCTCCTCCTCCTCCTCCTCCTCCTCCTCCTCCTCCCCCTTCTCCTCCTCCCCCTCTCCCCTCCTCCTCCTCCTCCT